TTAGATGCTATTAGAGTTTAATTTCGGATGCCTTCTGGTACTAAAAAAATTTTGTCGTTCGTAATGTTGCAGTTTTATTCTACAATGACAAAGTTAACTGTCACATAAAAATTTATTCTAAGAAAAGGCAATACATATATTAACATAAATATTGAATGCTTTCACATATAATTAATTTTCTTTAATGCTCTTTCTGATAGGATATTTTGTTTACACAGCCTTTTTATGATGAATATTGCACCTAATGAAGCAGAACATGAAACTGTCAATTTTATGTCATAAATTATTAAATAAAAAACACTTTTCATGTATTTCATTTCTATAACTGTATTTTAATCCAGTTAAATTTGTAATATCATTACACAAACATGGGCAATAGTTGTATGTTTAGTAACACAAAAAAATATATATACTGTATGGCAATATCAATACCAAGCAATTTCTGATTGGTGCCATGAAGAGAATATGTTATTAGTCATGGTGTGTTTAAGCAAAAAAGTAATGCTGAAATTTAAACACCATATTACCTGCTTTTTTTCAAGTGACATGTAACAGGGAAGATTTTCCACATAATTTAGAAACATCATGACACTGGTGACACATCTGGCACTAATATCAGCTTCTTAACCCTGCTGTGAATGTGTAATGTCGATGTTCTATTTTGTGATTTTATCAAGTCAATAACTTTATCACAAAACTGGGAAATAGAACCACCTTTGTAGTGTAGAAAACTGCCACCCTGTGTAGTAGAAACTTTCACTCATATTTCTTACATATCAAGAAACTTTCACTATTGTTCAAAGTCTCTTTGAATAATGCAGTCCTCTGTCAAGCTCAGAACAAAAGGACCCCATATTCGAGGCGAGATTTGAGATTTAACAAAACTTTTATTTTAGACAGAAGTGCAGAGAACAACGTCGGCGTCTAAGGCAGGAACCTCTGCAGGAGGAGAACACAGGTTAGTGAGCACGCCTATCTGGCGGAGGATGATAATGAACGTCTGAGTCACTAACCTGGTCTTAAAATTCAGTCCGAGCCTAGAGGACCAGGCAGACAAAGGAAAGCAGGATAATCCTGAGGGCAAAGCTAAAGCCGGTGTAAGAGTTGTTCTCGGTAGGTAGAACCAAGAGATCCGAGATTTGAAGAGGTGCCGAAGGGAAAACCAGAACAGAGTTGGGAAATGTTTCCAAATTTGGTAAAGACGCAGCAAGAATTGAATTAGCACTACCATTGCTAGTGTCGTCAGCTGTAAGACATTGACGTCCACTGCTGATGTTGTTGGTTCGAGACCCACCTTAGACAATTGAAAGTTACGATAATACTTAACAATTATTTTAGCTAATGTAACTAATTCTTATTGGTTTGCCCTATTACAAATATAGATTGGGTAAAAACACTGCCAAATTAGATTGGTTTCGCCAAAAGATTGGTTGAACACATAACTTCCAACCAGATTAAAACCAAAATCTGTGGAAGTACTACTATGTTTGAATAAAAATGACTAACACCTTTAATTTTGCTCATCATTCTCCAGTTGGCACACGCACTTCCACCGTCTGCTTAAGTTTATTTCACTAAAATGGCAGAAAAACAGTGTACATTTTTTACTCAAAAAAACGTACAAAAGATTTTATTATGCATACCAATCATTAACAATATCAAAGGAACTTAAATGGGAAAACAACTGCAAAAAATCACAGATTATATAACTAACTGTAGTTATGCACTCCACCAGTAGGTGGTGACATGTTCACATGAAGCTTCATGAACTGTGGGGATCGTTGAAGCAATTTGGCCAAATGGTTCAATGCCTCATGAGGCTTCATCTCAGCATCACTATCTCTCTGTTTAAAGGCCTAAATAATCTGGCACTGATGACTGGTTTAAAGACTGGATAAATAGAGGCTGAAGCAGATGCATCAGATGAGCAGTAATGAGGACTGGGCGGAGATAAGTAGGTGAATGAAATAAGGAATCATCTCATGATCTCAAGATCATGACAATCCTCTGAGGCCTGTAGTGGTTTCACTGCTAAATATAAAAGTTTCCCTTGTATGGACTCCAATGTCGGTGGTGAGGGGAGAAGACATGCATACCCGATAAGCATCTTTGGCAGTTAAGATTGGATAGAAGAGCAATTTGTGTTGAGCAGCTATCAAAAAACCTACTGTGAATTTCAGCTAAAATAAAAGAGTGCAACCCGATGGTTCTCTGGTTCAATCAATGCTGTTCCTTAAAGAGTCTCTCCAACGGTAAAAAGACAAGTAGGAGGTGCAAACACATGAAATGCATTTAGAGTGGTGTCTCAGTAATGAAAATCTAGCATTGGAGGAGGGTCCCAGTGTAACTGAGGAAACCATCGGCTTGTCTAAAGGACTGATTTATAGACACAACATTTAATTTAGATTGTGTGCTGCATACAGTAAATCACAGAGCAGATATCAGCCGAAGGGGTTATGCTGTAATCAATCAATTCATTTATAAACAAGCTAACAAGAATGAATGAGTGTAAGATAATTGGCAGTCTCTCCTTTATGCCTGTCTGTTACTTAATGTAGCAGAGGCAGTTGTTTAAATATGAATGATTGTAAGAACCAAACTACATTACAGCAATGAAGTTAATAATAAATATACAAGCTGCTAATGTCTGTGTGCTTGTGTTGGAGAAGTAGAGAGCAGTGGTGGTGAAAAGGACAAATAAAGAGAAATGAGGCTAGGCGGTGGGTCATTAATGTTCACTTTGATAGAACAGAGAACCTGGGGACTAAAACAAAAACTTCTGAATAGGCGCCTGGTGAAAAAAAAATGTTTAAAACTGTGAACTGACTTTTAAAAAGTATCAAGTTTTTTTTTTTTTTATTAACTCATGTACTTTTTATTAATACATTATTTCCAAGTATTTATTGATGTGTTTGGTCCAAAGTTCCACATAAATCGATTTCTTTGTTTGCCAGATATAATATCAATCAAAAAGTGTCATGATCTGAAATGCAACATATTCTAAAAATAAATAGAACAAGAAAAATTAAAGCATAAAAAAAAAAATCATGAAACCCTTAATAGGGTTTTATATTTATCTATATATTTGGTTACAGTTCCTTTTTAAGTAGTACCATAGTTTTATAATGTTCTGTTTGAGCTCTTACAAATTGATACAATGAGCCATTTGTTACCTTTATATTGTATAAAAATAACAGTTAAACATAACATCTAGTTTTGTAGTTTGGTTTATTTTGGTTGTTTTGAGTGCAGTGGAATAGTTTGGGGGTGGGGTTTTTCTTTGGTAAGCCTCATCTTCATTTTTGTAAAAAGGTAAATTTATTTTACAATTTTATTTTATTTATTTATTTATTTTTGCTTAAATATTCCTAAAAGGGAAACGCATGAAATAAAGATTTAAAAGGTCAAAGCTCATTGTGAGATACTCATGTCAGCCCTTTCCCTCTCTAAGCAGGTGTGCACTGGACTGCACCATTGGATAATTGAAGGGGGGGAGTTTGGGTTCATGTATGGTGTTTTCTATGTTAATTTTTGAGTATTTGTTTAGTTTGAATTAAAAAAATATATATCTTTTGTCTTGATTGGTAAATGTATTTCTTTATTAGCTTTTCATTTAAAACACATTTTCTTCTTTTGTTGTGATTTTGCAGCTGTATATCCTTTTATAATGGTTTCTTCCAATTTAGTTCCACCTGTATATAAAACAATTGTCTGCCATTGTTCTGTTTTGGTGTGTTTTGGTTTATGTGCTGCACTGAAATGAAAGAGGTTTCAGCTTAAAACTCTTTGAAGCATGTTTTCCTTTCAACGGTTTGGGTCCCACCTCCAAGACTGCTTGCCCTGCTGACGAGCATGTAACACAAATTAAAGAGCCTGTTTAGTCTTCTGTGTTTGGAGCTGTTGACAGCAGCTTTTTAGGCATCATTTGAAGTGGTCTATAAAAAAATATATATATATAACACCAGCTTGGACAGCCTGTTTTATATTTTTTCATGCATGAATCCATTAAAGTTTGTTTACCTTAATGATATTCATGATCATTTGATTCATAACTGAATCGATTTCATTTGATTGACCAATATAATTTGTTTAGAAAAAATTAACTAAGACCTAAATGGAAGAACGCAAGAACATTTGCTGACTCTGATGTATGCATGCTTCCCCTCACAGCCCTGAACACTTCTGCTACAAATAACGTTATTACAGCACAATCCATTAGCTCCTATAGTGATGTGTTATTAGATATTCACCCAAGCTTGCATAGTTACATAGTCTCATCAAAATCACTGCAGAGTGCAAACAGTAAACTGCAGAGTATGGCAAAGACTACTCGTACAATAACAATCATAAAACTGAAGGTCAGTGGTGCTGTCCCATCTGGTTACAATTTTTTCTTTCAATGTTTTCCTCAGTATCCTCAGGTTTTCTGCTGAATCACAGCTCAACAATGTAGCTGCACCCTCACTTTTCTGTTTCTTTGACTTTGACTTCACATATATGTCCTCCCTCGCTTCCTCTTTGCCTCTTTGTTTTTTATGTCTCTTATATTAACTTTTCTCTTTTCTTTTCACCTCTGCTGCCTTTGAATCCCTTCAGACATCTGATTCTCAGAATTTTAATGTGTTGCACTTCTTACTCATCATTCCCGCTGGCAAAAGGTTTTGTGACTGATAATTTATTGATGTGACAAACTTTACGTTAACCTTGACCTTAGAATCATTAAAGATTAGGAAGAAGAGCCATTTTAAGAGGAATATAACAAGTTATATTCGTCACATTACAGTTAACAATGTTCTGTTGGATCAAGCGCCAAGCTTTGAATAATTAGATTTGGTTAGATGGTTTAAAGCTTTTTATTCTCACTTTGCCACCATGATTTCTTTAAGCTTAGAAGAAATTAAATCTGCATTAATATTTTTTGTGAGGATAAAACATCCATGTGTTTTTTTCATGTACATGGTGCTCACCAACTTTCCTTTTTCTTTGTTTGTATTTTTCAGCTTTTCAGAAATAAAGCAGTGGAGCTGGGAGAAAAGCTGCTACCAGCCTTTAACACACCAACAGGGATCCCCAGAGGAGTCATCAACTTGGGGAGGTGAGGCTCAGCCGCAGTCTTCCACTCTAACTGTCATCCAACTACAAAAGGCCATCAGAAAACCTAGACTCAATCAGTCCCCAGTCTATTTATATACCACTATAAATTGGTGAACAAAGAACGAAAATATATGTTGTGCATCCGTTAGTTAGTGTGTAAAAGGGAAATTCTCAAATTCAAACGTAATATCATATATAAACCTTACTCAAGTCAGTAATTGTATACAAAAAGGGACGCCTGTTTTGCAAACTGGTGTTTATCTCTTGAAATATGGTTGATATAAATTTTGGTTGATATCTTACAGCCAGAGAGGGGTAGAGTAGCCAGGATTTGTACTTGGATAAAAACATCAACACTTGATATAGGTTATTTTTAGGTTAAAATAAAGTGTCATCCACAAAGAAATAAATAAAAGGCTACTAAGTACTTATGTAGGAATGATTAATCTTATTTAATTTTATAAGTTTACTGATCCATCCATCCATCCATTTTCTTACACGCTTGTCCCAAGTGGGGTCGCGAGGGCTGCTGGTGCCTATCTCCAGCAGTCAATGGGCGAGAGGCGGGGTACACCCTGGACAGGTCGCCAGTCCATAGCAGAGTTTATTGATTCATATTTGGATATTTTTAATTATATTAATATATAATAAATTACATTATTATAATTAATTATAATTTTGGCCGAAGAAACACTCCTGAATCCTAAAATATAAAAGTTTTTAACAAATTCTCACCATGGGGGATGTATACATGTAAGAACCAACCAAAGTGCTTCCATGAACAAATATCTGCTTTTTACTGTTCACTTTCTCTCCAAGTGGCACCAACCAAAAATACCTCCAGACAAAGATATGTGGGTCTGGGTCTTGTGAAACTGATTAAAACATGTTTGATTCATCATTCAGTGAAGTAACTCAAGTGGGTAGGGTACACAAAATTGTACTCAAGCATTAGTAACATTACTTCAAAATAACGTTACTTAAAATGGAGGTTAAAGAAATGCTAATGTAGAGCTACTCTTAGAAGTAGTTTTTTTTGTTTTTTTTTAAAGCTCGTCCAGGAAATGTAAAGAGGACATTTTAGTTACGACCCACCTTTACTAACAGCTAATGACAAAAGCTCAGATTCCCACAAAATTAAAATGTTACATTAAAATACCAAATTGTGTTCCCTCCAACAAGGGCTCATTTAAACTTTTTCTGCATCAAAGTGGCCTGTCGCCGAAAATTACTGACAATAGTTGCTGCAGCCACGTTCTTGGTTATATCAGGTCTAATCCAACCTTTATTGGTAACTGTAGATCGTGCTATACTAAACCCATAGATTAAGCTAATGCGTGACCAGTTTTACGCGCCGCCATGCAAGCGTATAGTAGAACACGCTTGCATGGGTTAGCAACAAAGTTTGTATTTTAATTTCTAAGTTAAACACAAAATGAACTATTACCTCAACATAGGCCTTAAAACCACTAATCAAAATAATTTTTTTATATCCAAAATCAGATTAGAATACAGTAGCTCTTCAAATACTTCCAGCTAGGGTCCATGCCTGAGGAAGATTTAAACCAAACTCTTTAACGGCCAGTCTTTTCTAATATTTTCTTCCTCTTTTATTTTAAAACACTTTAATACAACAATGAACAGACAGCCTCTCTTAGAAATATCCTTTTGTGAACTTCCCAACTTGATGAGTGCCTGCTGGACTGGTGTCAGTCACATACAAATAAGTTCTAAAAATCTTTTTTAGTATGTAATATTTTTTCTTTCAGAACTTTTATTTGGGCTTTTAGTAGATGCAAGCCCATCCACAAACATCAACAGAATAAATCAGCTGAAATACATCTGTAATACATTTTAAAGATGTTAGACAGACCATAGAGGGAAAAAAAACATATAAATTGCAATCTGCATCTTGGTAACAGTATTTAATATTTACATACATTTTAAATAAGGCAAAAATACTTCACCGCAGACTCAGTTTTATTATCGATGACTGTTGAGTGACAAATATTTTGTTTTTTTAATGGTTTAATGGTTTTTTAATGATTTGAATAATATCTGCATGGCTGCTGTTGATATTTTATCTTCTATTACTTATTGCCTTTTCAGCTAAATCTTTAGTGACAGTTTTATTAATACCAGTCATATATAACTACTTTAAGCTCTTTTTTTATCTTCTTTTACCTTCTGATCTTTGCATCTTTTCATCTTTTCATCTGAGTTTAAGATTTTTTGTGCAGAAACAAAGATATAGAAGCTTAACAGAAGCAGATCTGATGGAACGATAAATGCTGATAAAATACTGTTTTTTGCTGTGAAATCAAATTATCATTGTGAGCTTGTAATCCTGTGGCGTTATTCTTCTTTGATTTTACTATGCATGAACACAAAGCCAAAAATGCCATATCATATGTTCCCTTTTGAAATTTTATCTAAAATATCTAACAACGCTTGATTGAATAATCTCTTTTTGACTCCTTTGTAAATCCCACTGTTGTTAGTCCTTCTTCTCTCTTCTCCTAATCGTATCTTCTTTTCTGGCACCTCTGTCATCCACCTGCTTCCAATTACACTCGCAGCCACACTGGGCAGCTGCTGGTAGATTTAATTACCTTATTCTCCAGTTAATTGCTGAAACATCACCAGCATGTGCCGATGTTGCAGATGGACACCGAGAGCCATGCCGCTTATTAGATAAAAAACAAAATAAACCCCCCAAAAAATGCATCAACAATGTGTTAGTGAACCATATACGCAATCTTAAGGTGTACTGTAAGTTATCTTATCTTGCTTAAAATGGAATTGAATGAACTTATTTTGTCCCCTTGGCAAGGAGTTTATCATTTCTTTGCTGCAAATCAAGAAGGATTAAAAGTTCAGATGAAGGAACATGGGCATACAGGCAATATGCACATAAAAAAAAGAGATAGACAACATGAATGAAAAACACAGACATAAGTTCTCAACCATTTACCAGTTGAATGAGAAATTAAAATATATTATATTTGAGGAATAAAGACTTGTATATACTGCTATGGGTGTGTATTTTTAACCAAATTACTTGCTAATAGATATATCTGTAGAACTGAATGGCTTACTTTAATAAAGCTGCAGCTTAAGATTATGTTTTGAGTCAAATAATTAACCTTTTTTTTAAATCTGTGACAGTGCAAAGACAGAATATATGAATCCATAAACATCAAAATAGGCAAATATACCCAGATCCAAGTGGAAATCAGTTTCAGCCATTTATACTGTATGTATGTATGTATGTATATATATATATATATACACAGTGGGGCAAAAAAGTATTTAGTCAGCCACCAATAGTGCAAGTTCTCCCACTCAAAAAGATGAGAGAGGCCGGTAATTTTCATCATAGATATACCTCAACTATGAGAGACAAAATGAGAAAAAAAAAATCCAGAAAATCACATTGTCTGATTTTTAAAGAATTTATTTGCAAAATATGGTGGAAAATAAGTATTTGGTCAGTAACAAACAAGCAAGATTTCTGGCTCTCACAGACCTGTAACTTCTTCTGTAAGAGGCTCCTCTGTCCTCCACTCGTTACCTTCATTAATGGCACCTGTTTGAACCTGTTATCAGTATAAAAGACACCTGTCCACAACCTCAAACAGTCACACTCTAAACTCCACCATGGCCAAAACTAGAGAGCTGTCAAAGGACACCCAAAACTAAATTATAGACCTGCACCAGGCTGGGAAGTCTGAATCTGCATTAGGTAAACAGCTTGGTGTGAAGAAATCAACTGTGGGATCAATTATTAGAAAATGGAAAACATACAAGACCACTGATAATCTTCCTCAATCTGGGGCTCCACGCAAGATCTCACCCCGTGGGGTCAAAATGATCACAAGAACAGTGAGTAAAAATCCCAGAACCACAAGGTGGGACCTAGTGAATGACCTGCAGAGAGCTGGGACCAAAGTAACAAAGGCTACCATCAGTAACACACTACGCCGCCAGGGACTCAAATCCTGCAGTGCCAGACGTGTCCCCCTGCTTAAGCCAGTACATGTCAAGGCCCGTCTCAAGTTTGCTAGAGAGCATTTGGACGATCCAGACGATGACTGGGAGAATATCATATGGTCAGATGAAACCAAATTAGAACTTTTTGGTAAAAACTCTACTCGTCGTGTTTGGAGGAGAGAGAATGCTGAGTTGCATTCAAAGAACACCATACCTACAGTGAAGCATGGGGGTGGAAACATCATGCTTTGGGGCTGTTTTTCTGCTAAGGGACCAAGACGACTGATCCGTGTGAAGGAAAGAATGAATGGGGCCATGTATCGTCAAATTTTGAGTGAAAACCTCCTTCCATCAGCAAGGGCATTGAAGATGAAATGTGGCTGGGTCTTTTAGCATGACAATGATCCCAAACACACCGCCCGGGTAACGAAGGAGTGGCTTCGTAAGAAGCATTTCAAGGTCCTGGAGTGGCCTAGCCAGTCTCCAGATCTCAACCTCATAGAAAATCTTTGGAGGAAGTTGAAAGTCCGTGTTGCCCAGCGACAGCCCCAGAACATCACTGCTCTAGAGGAGATCTGCATGGAGGAATGGCCCAAAATACCAGCAACAGTGTGTGAAAAACTTGTGAAGACTTACAGAAAACGTTTGATCTCTGTCATTGCCAACAAAGGGTATATAACAAAGTATTGAGATGAACTTTTGTTATTGACCAAATACTTATTTTCTACCATATTTTGCAAATAAATTCTTTAAAAATTAGACAATGTGATTTTCTGGATTTTTTTTTCTCATTTTGTCTCTCATAGTTGAGGTATATCTATGATGAAAATTACCGGCCTCTCTCATCTTTTTGAGTGGGAGAACTTGCACTATTGGTGGCTGACTAAATACTTTTTTGCCCCACTGTATATTTATATATATAAAATGTTCTAACAGTTAGATATTTAATGTAATGTCCTCATTTTGCAGGACATTAGATTGTGCATCTTGTTAACTCAAATTCTTTTTTTCTGAAGTCTACTAAAATGGCTTGAGTTTCTTAAAAGGGGTAAAAAGATAAATGAATTTGTGCCTGTAATGCTCATCCATCTTCTAACACACCACCTGCTGGTCTGCACCTCTTTGTAGATGCTCTGACTGATTCCTCATAAACACAAAACCACGTATGACTTCAGCCAGCACGACTAATGATATAGCACGCAAAGCTTTAATGGGTGCATTCATCAAAGCACAGAATCAGATGCCTGCTTCTCCCTAGTTTTTCTTCCATATATCCGCCCTCCTCCTAACAATCCAGCTCAGTTCATTATCCGTTATCTGATATTCTTCAACAAGATCTTCCTGTAGTCCACTTTGTCCTCACCGATCATTTCTGACTGAATCATTTTCATAAATTTAGTGATGTTACTGATACATTTTATTCTCTGATGCTGCATTTCTTTCATCATATCTTTTCTTGTCCATTTTTGAAGCTTTCATGAGGGATAATTTTTAAGTTCACTTGAAAAACTTTACGTTAGTCATAACTGGCATTAGAAATGACATATGCTGAAGGTTGTTTCAGGGATTTTACTTTTAAAATATGCAACTTTGATTGTTTTACATGTCTAACAAAATTATTTAGTGTATGAAATTCATTTTCACTATCGGAAAATAAAAAATGTCAGCCCTGTGTTCTGCTGCTGACTTCTAATTTACTGCCTCACAGCATTTTACTGAGAAATATTAAACTATTTGCATGTATAATACCTTCTTTCTATTACTGGATCTTGTGTCACAAATCTCTTCTTCTTAACTACCATCATTTCTCTGTTATTGGTTTTGGTTTCAGTTCATTCCACTCACATAATCCCTTTGGAAAAAAAATCCTATAAAGGTCTATATTGGGTCACAAACTTTTCAGTTTAAGTGTGATTTAATTACATTGCAGTAAAATTTAGTTTATAAAGCCAAGGGGTTTAAATGATATTTATAGGGAATTAAATTACATTTTTTTTTTTATCCTTAAAATCCTCAAATACTCATAAGTATCTTTCCTAAATATTCTTTCTGTTGCAGTGGTACCAGTTGGAGCTGGGGCTGGGCTTCAGCTGGCAGCAGCATCTTGGCTGAGTTTGGGACCCTTCACCTTGAATTTGTGCATCTGACAGAGCTATCTAAGAACCCTGTCTTTGAAGAGAAGGTACATATTACTCAATAATAACCTTATTTTATGTAGTTTTAACTTGTTTTTATTAACTTCTTTTATCAGTTGAAGTATTACATTTTCACATTCTTTAGTTTTAATTAAATTAGCTTTATTTATCTTTTTTCACTGACTATAACTATGAAACTAATAAGATCTGATTATGGCAGGTGATGAGCATCAGGAAGCTCCTGAACAAGATCGAGAAACCTCACGGCTTGTATCCCAACTTCCTCAGTCCAGTCAGCGGCAACTGGGTCCAGCGTAAGTGTTGTAGCTCATGTAGAAGACTAATTTAGGTACCTAAAAATATTTTTGTCCTTAGGTCAGTTTTATAATACTGGTTCTTCTCTAAAGGTTAACAGTTTTCTTATTGGTCAAAGAGGATTGCAATAAACCTGAAAGGCAAATAAGTCTTGGAGATTTTATGCCATTTTTTTTTTTTTTTATGTTGCATAACTTCTATTATGTTCTTCATAGTATTAGTTAGGATCACAAGAAAGTTAAGTCCTTGGACTTAATTTCTACCTTTTCTTATCCATTGTACAAACTGTAAACAGATTGTACAATGGATAAGAAGTACTAACTGTAAGTTGTCATTTATGTTCAAAGCACTTTTTGGTACTCTTCTGACAATCGCCCTCCTTTCAGTTCAAACATCACTTAGTACCAGTGACAATCAGACAACCATCGCTCTGGGTTATTTGAATAATAATAAGTTAGTTTGTAAAAATAGGTATTTTCAAATGACCTATGAGGCAGTGGGGGAGGGGCTTAAGGTGATAAGATGGTTATGTGGGGGGAATGGTGCTAATCTGTATTATTACAGCAGCTAATTGTTGTGGAGGAGCATGCAGGGAAACTGAACAGTACATAAATATCTGCAGAAAGAAAAATAAGCTCCGGCTCCCCTCGTTTGTCTGTGTCAAGGACAAATGCAACAGCACAGCGATAACCTTGTGAAGGAGTCTGCTGAGGTATTTGTGTTTGAGTGGAACCAGAGGAATAGACAGACCTGCGCTTGTCTCCGCTGTGATATCATACTCATTGTTATTCAATGTTGACAGCAAGAGGAAAATAGAGCTTGTGATTTTTTTTTTTTTTTTTTTTCTTTTGGAAAATGTGTGTGGTGAATATTAATCGTTTTTTTTTTTTTTTTTGCAGAAAGCTCATTTCCAATTTGTGAACTTTTAAGACTTTAATGCCAAACCCAATCATACTGATTACATTTTAGGGCTTCTATGATTAGGTCAATTAAATTTAGTGAATTAAGAATAACTCAGATTAACTCAAGGGACTAAACTGCTTGCATGGACTTTACTGCTGGTTCAACCTACAATGAGTATGCTTTTTGTATGTAGTGATTTTTTAACTGTGTAGAGGAATTTAAATACAATTGTTTTTTTTTATTATTAAATATTAGAAAATGTTATGTTGAAATTATTTATGGAAGTGTTGATTTTTCCTCTTTTCCTTTTTTTTTTAGATCATGTTTCCATCGGTGGCCTCGGAGATAGTTTCTACGAGTATTTGATCAAATCCTTCCTAATGTCAGACAAGACAGATGTGGAAGCAAAGAAGATGTATTACAGCGCGCTTGATGTATGGAAATCTTTATCTTTTTTAAATCTTTACTCCTCTCAGAGGACATGCATGTATCCAAAAGTAAAATATCACAGAATAATTCCTTCTAATTTATCAAAGCTTTTATACCCAATTCAAATCAAACAATGTTTAGGAGTAAATGCTGCCTGATTAAATTAATTTAAAATTAAATTGAGCTTTATTGATTTCACAATGGTGAAATTAACCCTCTGCATTTAACCCATACCCTTTAGGGAGCTGTGGGCTGCCACAGTGCAGCGCCCTCTGAGCAATCAGGGGTTAAGGGTCTTGCTCATTGCCCCAGAGTGGCAGTCTGTGGGAGTGGGTTTCGAAATCACAACCTCAGGATTCCAAGCCCTATGCCCTAACCACTAGGCCGCCACTTCAGAAATGCTTTTACTTGGTAGTTATATCCATCAAATGAACAGGAAAACAACAGTTTAATATACCTGACCAGCTGACTACTGATCAGAACATAGTGTAAATCTAGATGGGACTTTCTTGTTAAGGAAAACTACAGAGCCAACTTGTATATCACTGGTATAAAGCAGTAAAGTGTAGACAATATCTGTGTTAGAGAGGCTGTAGGTTTTCTTTCATCAGCTTTGCAGCTGTATAAGGCGTTTTTAATTACTGGAAAACCCATATTCTAAACAGAGTTTAGTTACCATAGTCAATATTACACCTAGATTGGTCAATACCAGGTGACCTTTGTTAGATATAGTCAAAAAACAGTTATGTAGAATGCTTTGCCACCTCAAATACAGTAAAATGACCTACTGTGAGGGTGTAGCATGCACAGGCTGAAATACTATTTACAGGAAGTTGAATTCAGAACTTTTGGCTTCATATCTAACATTAAAATGCAACTAAGAGGACATTAAACATGTTTTGTGGGAAGTATCTAAAACCTCTTAATATATGAACAATAAAGAATAGAATCTTTCTGTATGCAGTAGGATAACTTCAAGCTGCTTTTAGGATTACCTAATTTACCATCAAAGGGTCAAGCCTAAGGCAAAATACTAATTATGAATTATCCTTCTTCATTATGACTCAGAATTTATTGCCAAGGACCAAAGATGAATTATATATTATCTGATTCATGTCTGTTCAAAAATCTAAGGTGAGGGCAAAGTGCAGCTAATTACCTTTGGGATTGGAATAAAAATGGACTGCTAATTAAAACAACGTTAAATGAGAAAACATTTTCCAATTATGCCCTGCTATGATTACCAGTAACAACCGCTAATTAGTGTCTAAATTATCAGTCTAAAGCCTAAGGAAAATATACTTTCTTAGAACAGGGGGACTATATTTTATTATTCCATATATTAATGTATTGTTTTCTGTTTTCAGAACTACATCCTTGTTGCAGCATTCTTATCATTGGTATACAACATTCAATATTAAACTGGCTGGCTATCAATTAATTACATATGGGAACTAAACATGCTGGAGATAATATTTTAATTTTCAGGTTGATTAAAATAACATAATTAAAAGAATACACATTAGTTACAATGGGTCTGGAACTTCTTTAACTTAAGTTGTTGAATTGTTTCCTAATTTAGCATATCTATATTTAAAGTCAACCTAAGCTGCTGGGCAGTCAGATTTATATAGAGAAAGATTTGCATGTGTTTTCATTGAGAATCCTTATTTTTATTTTATTTTTTTTTATATTAAAAGAGCAACATCTGGGGAGAAACACATTTTATAGAAATTATTTTGTAGATGACTCCGATGAACTGTGCTGTTGTCATGCAGACCTCTTCCCCCACATAGAGAATAACTTACTTTCCAAAATTTCTAACTGATTTTGTGGAATTATTTGAGGTTTCAGACCAAAATTAAATATTCTTCTACGTTGTTGCTGCAGGCGATTGAAGCTAACCTGGTGCAGAAGTCACCTGGTGGCCTCACCTACATGGCGGAGTGGAGGGGCGGCATCTTGGACCACAAGATGGGTCACCTGGCCTGCTTCTCTGGGGGCATGATTGGCATCGGAGCTGATGATGGTGTACCAGAGAAGAGGCAGCATTACCTTGACCTCGCTGCCGAAATCACACACACATGCCATGAGAGCTACACCCGCTCAAGTAAGTGGACGTATCAGGGAGATTCAAAGCAGGGTGTCAGCATTTAGATGGTTCCCTGTCATGCTTTTGAGTTCTATAAGACAATTCGAGATACATCGCTCTACTGTTCTAGTTCTATTGTCACTATTAGAAATAGATTTTTCAAAGAAGTTGAATAAAATATTAAGACTGAACTAAGTAGTTATTCTTTGTAACTATTAAAAACAGTTTGTTAAAAAACAATAAATGTTTGTGTTGATGTACTCATATAGATTTGACCTCCACCAAGGAAGTCATCTTTTTACGAGAGTTTGTTTTTTGCGTCAGTCTGTCTGTCTGTGTACAGCATGACTTAAAATCTTTTAATCAAATTTTTATTACATTTATACCAGAGGTTCCAGATTATAATAGAGATACAGGATTTTTTTTCCCCAAAGGATTCTTTAACATTGTGAGATAGTGATTTATGGAGGAAACAAGCAGTCCCCCCCAAAACCAGAGGCTGGCAGAAGTGACTATTGACAGCTTCACCATTGGACTCCAAAGGTCACGTTCCAGACATGCAAAATTTAGATAAAGGTGTTGGTCTCAATATGATGCAAAATCTGCTGCTTGGCAGAGGTCTGCGCTCTCTGAGTACTTTTTTTTGTGTTTACATATTTAGATTATATGCATATGATTACTGTTCTGATTCTACAAATACTAAAGGAAAGTTAAGTGGATGGAGAGAAAATGGTACAAAAAGCACAAAACCAACATGATGACAGTGGCCTTAAGAGTATTGTTAGGTATGCCACTTGAATCATGGGTTCACCCCTTAGATTGTAGCTCACTTTTCGAATTTCCAAGGTCTGATGGCTAATTGTTCATATCTGTGCTTCTTGCTCATCATTTTCAGTTTTGTTAAATTATATGTATAATATATTAGGAAATTAACTCTATTTTATATGCAGCCTATTTTAATAGGAAAGTGTATTGGAAGAATGGCAAAACAGACAGGGAAGTGAGTGAATGAAAAGGCCCAGGCTTTAATTTATCAATGAAAGGAAGAAGCTCTAGGTGGTTGCACTCAAGGATAGAGAAAAGGGCCAATGTAAAAGGAAGCACATACATTATTCTCAGCACAGAAGATTCTAAAACTAAAGTCATTTAGAAGAAATCAAAACATGCAGCTAGAGACTCCATGAAATAGTGGTTAGACTGCACCAAAGATAATCACTAAAGTGCCAATGAAAGTTATGCAATGATTTAAATAAATGGACTCTAGACGTGGTTATGGACCATTTTCTCGAGTGACGAAATCGACCTTCTCAATTGGCAATCATGAAGGACGTACTGGGTTTTGGTTACAGGAGAAACGGTACTTGTCTGACTATTGTGCCAAGTGTAAAGTTTGGTGGAGGGGGATTATGGTGTGAGGTTGTTTTTCAGGAGCTGGGCTTGGCCCCTTAGTTCCAGTGAAAGGAACTCTGAATGCTTCAGCATACCAAGACATTTGGACAATTCCATGCTCCCAACTTTGTGGGAACAGTTTGGAGCTGGCCCCTTCCTCTTCCAACATGACTGTGCACCAGTGCACAAAGCAAGGTCCATAAAGACATGGATGACAGAGTCTGGTGTGGATGAACTTGACTGGCCTGCACAGAGTCCTGACCTCAACCCGATAGAACACCTTTGGGATGAATTAGAGCGGAGACTGAGAGCCAGGCCTTCTCGTCCAACATCAGTGTGCGACCTCACAAATGCGCTTCTGGAAGAATGGTCAAAAATTCCCATAAACACACTCCTAAACCTTGTGGACAGCCTTCCCAGAAGAGTTGAAGCTGTTCTAGCTGCAAAGGGTGGACCGACGTCATATTGAACCCTATGGATTAGGAACGGGATGTCACTTAAGCTCATATGTGAGTCAAGGCAGGTGAGCAAATACTTTTGGCAATATAGTGTATATCTGTAATGAATATTTCTTTTAATTGAATAACTGAATAAAGTTCTCCTGTCTGACACTGCAGCTCACCAGCATAAAACACATAATCATTTAAACATAGCACTAAAGACATCAAATTTAGAAGCATTTCATATATGACATCTTAAAGTATCATTATCTTAGTTCCTGTATCTTCATGGGTCTCACCTCTTAGATTTAGCTCTACCTTTTTCGATATCTTCCAAGGTCTGATGAGCTAATTGTTCATATCTGTGCTTCTTGCTCTCTTTTCTGTTTTGTATAATATATATGTATAATATATATTAGGAGATATTAATCTCTATTTTATGCTGCCTATTTCTAGTTAGGAAAGGTTAATGTGGAAGATGGCAAGAAAACAGACTAGGGAAGTGAAGCTGAAAATGAAAATGGCCTCAGGCTTTTTAATTTTTATCAATGAAAGGAAGAAGCTTTCTAGGTGGTTGCATCTCAAGAGATAGAGAAAAGGGCCAATGTAAAAGGAAGCACATTACATTTATTCTCAGCACAGAAGTAGTTTCTAAAACTAAGAGTCATTTGAGGAAGAAATCTAAAACTTATGCAGCTAGTTTTGACTCCACTCTGAAATAGTGGTTAGACTTGGCACCAAAAGATCCTAAAGTTGCACAAGAGGAAAAGTTTCTGCACCATATATTTAAATAAATTGTGTAAATTGACTGTTGGTTTTATTGGATTCATATTTTTATTTTACTTCACCGATGAGCCAAATGAGCCAAAATTGACTAATTGTTCAACTCATAAATACTTTATTAATTGTAAACGGATATTAAGTGTTGTTGTTACTTTTTTTTATTTCTTCTCCATAGGGTTGTGGATGTTTATAGCTGTAGGTAGGAAGGATCTCCTGCAGTGCTCTGTCTTTATCTTGCCTATAAAACAAATTATATAAAATTCTTTGAACACTTTGAATCTTCAAACCCAAAAAGCATCTCCAGCTGTCCCTTTTGTGGTCGGCAGCCAGGTTCTATTGCTCAACTATAGTGAATACTAACCATATTTTGGATTAGTAGACCTCATCAAAACATTGCAATCAAGTTTTAGATTTGAAGTTAGGGAAATTTTCAGCATCTGCTGCGAGCCACCTGATTACCAGTCAAACTCCATTATGCTTTACATTTTAAGACATGCACAAGAAATTTAAAGGAAACAATTCTCGGCCAAAACGGGAGACTTGACAGCTATCCATCAAAGAGCGATAAGATATATTAATTTGTGCCCAATTGCTTCCTTGTGCTCTATGTATATCTAAACCCTGATAGCATGAAGGTTTATTGTTGCTGCTATTTTAAATCTCTCAGCTTTTCAACCAGTAACTGTTGGGCAGAAACCAGTAAAGAGAGAGAAAGGTCAGTTTCAGTAAGAACATTTAAGCAACGTCTTGCACTCTGGTAAAAAGATCTAGCACAAAACTGAATACAACAGTGAGTTCTCATTCCTTGTTAAGGGGAGTTTCTATTTAAGAGTTAATTTTGCACAAAATGCATGTTAGCACCGACTGGTTCAGTCTTGACCTTTTCAGAGAAAATGTTGCCCTCAAGTATTTAATATGATTGAGTGACTCAAGCAAAGCCTCTCAATACTGTCTGAAGCTCACACCCTATTTTGTAAGAAACTGCGGTTAAAGCTTAAAGGCAACTGAAAAGTAATATCTCTAGATATGTTATTCAAATTTCTCAGTGCAGTCTAAAAGCAGTTGATTTACATGGTATCCATATAAAAATGGCAAAAGACAAGAGCGGTGAAGTGGCCAAAGGTGAACGCCATGAGTCTGGCCAGACGCTGTCTCTCCCCAGCACTGCTGCTCCTCTGCCCAGCTAGATAAAAGGAAATACTGACTAATCCAACTGTCCTCCTAAGGCAGTTCTTGGAGTAGGTGTTGGTAATCTCCAAACTGGTTCTGTCTATATATCGGTTGGACCAATAGACATTGATGGTGTTGGTTGGCTTTCCATATCTTAAACAAGATCTGTCAGTCGCTCGATAAAATCCCTGCCAGATTTAGCTATAAACTGGCGCACTGATTAGTGGACAATAGTTTAAAATAATGCCTTTGTTGACCTTGCATTGTTAATGTAGAACATACTTTCAATTTCTAGGAGAAATTAAAGAGTGTTTATAGTGTAACTGTCCCAAGATTCACTGGCATGTTGTACAACAACAGATCGGCGCTTTGATTTACAAACTGTTGGTTACTAGCAGCGTCGTCTTGGGAATAATTACTAAGAAAGGAGCTTAAGCCTGTGCCAACTAACTAAATTAGATCTAAAATCAATAACACAGGAGTAATCAGATTCAATAATAAAGTATGTTAATAGTGGGAGGGGTCTGTGGTACAGCAAATAATATAGAACAAAATATGCAGTCTATAAAAGTAGCAGTTTCTGCCTGATCCAAACTGGAGTGGTAATCTACCTTTTACTTATGAGATTGTTTTAAAACTGGTTTAAACTTTATTAGTATTTTTGCAAGTGACTTGAAGGTGATGCGTTCTTTGGGTTTAAGAAAAACACTTAACAGTTCCTAGCTTTGATGCTTCCTTCTGTGTTGCATGCTTCCCTGCACAATATAATGAGTGAGCTGACTAGAAAATTGTGCAGCCTGGATGCTGCTATTTGTAGACATTTACTGAACATCATCATACCTGCCTTTATTCAGATTCCCAGTCTGTAGTTGAGGTCACTGTAAATTAGTATAAAATCAGTGAAAAGCACAAGGATAAATATTTCCCTTTTTTAATGAACACATTAGATGAACACAGAAACTTTCAAATCTTTTGATGCAGATGTTTTTGTCTTACTCATCATAAAGATAGAATTCATTCATCTTGTAAAGAACTGTTCTTAAAAGCAGCCTTTAATTTTTTTAAAATGAGTTATAAACAGTGAACAGAAAGATCATGTCCAAATAAGAAAATAAATTTCATGGAAGAAGGAAGAAGTGCACATTAAATATTTACTACATGTTAACCCAAAAGGATGATTTTCTTTAACTCTGTTTTCATGTCTCTTTCAGCAACTAAACTGGGACCCGAGGCCTTCAGATTTGACAGCGGAGCAGAAGCTACAGCTACAAGACTGAGTGACAGATACTACATCTTGCGACCAGAAGTCATCGAGAGCTACATGTACATGTGGAGACTGACCCACGACCCCAAGTACAGAGACTGGGGATGGGAGGCTGTGGAGGTGAGATCAATAATTAAGCATCAAAGTGCTTGTTTTAAAGGTCGGACCATTAGATTATCCCATAAAGGGTAAAGAACCTCCTTTGTGGTTTTTTTTTTTTTGTTTCATTCAATTGCTTTAGGGATAAGGAGATTCATTGCCTTATTGTGATTCCAAAAATGGTTAAAAAAATTACTGGACTTGTTTTCCAAGTTTGAGGATTTTTCAGTTCCCATCCAGAAAGCTTTCTCAATTCAAATGTCTGAAGTAGTGTCGAGTTTCAGACTTATAGAGTCTTAATCAGTTTAAAAGGGATTATATACATTCTGAAAATTTGTTCTTCTTCTCTTCTCTAAGTCATTCTCTGTTCAAAGACCAGAATTTAAAAGCAAATCATTTATCTTGAAGTGACATTAGAAAGGAAATAGACAAAATCTCTTGAAGTAACACAAAGCTGTATCTGGACATATCTGGACATTTATAGTTAACAAAAAGTTCAAATGCATGAAGCTCGACTTGGACATTATATTCAAAAGTGAGCCCAAACAGAGCAGCAGTAGTGCTCTAGTAGTGCTCTCTGGTATGTACGAGCAAAAATGTCAACAATGCTCCCTCTAAACTTTTCAAGAGCATTTTCCATCCTGTACAGAAGATCAGCCAAGCTTCTGGACATTTTACCGTGAATAAAAAAAATGTTGCTTTTACATAAGTGTTTATTGTTCTGGATATTTGTTATTTTAGGCAGAAAATTACTGAATAACGTGACACTATTCTTTATTAATAAAAGGTTAGCCTACACCTCAATTTGTTCTCCCTCCCAAAGATGAGTTTCGATTTATGAGCTAGAAAATCCTTTCCTACAGTGTATTTCTTATGAACATTTCCAGTTTGATTTAGCATTTAGATTTGAAGCTTTGCAGCATACATACCATTATGTAAAGTTGCTGTCTTAAATGTTCTCACACTTTTTTTAAATAGAATTGAAGAAAAAAACTTTAACCAGTGGAACGCTGTAATAATCCCATTTTATATTTAATTGGGGGACAAGGCAGAGTACAATTTTGTTATCTGTATGTCTCTTATTGGTCAACTGAATTATCATTTTCAAGGCTGTCCTCACTTATTAAATCAAAGCCCTTTAACATGCTAAATTATCATAAACCAGCTCTCTTCATATTATGTAGCACTACACATTTGCTTGTAGAGCAGGCAATCCTGCTACCATGAGATGAAAGCACTATTATTAATGTGGCAATAGGCAGGATGTTAAATGCGGTAAACTTTAGAGAGCTGGCGTGAGAGAGTTATCATTAATTTAACTCTCACAAGAAGAGGAAAGATCAGGCTGATGAGTTTGACAGGCCTATAATTATCAGGCACAAAGGTTGGAAGCGGTGTGCAATACTTCTGCTCAGGAACATCAAGCATTAACACACCAGGGTCGTTGTTAATTAGCACGTATAAGAAAGCCCCTTTGTAGCAGAGATGATAATGAACTAATCCGCTTGGCTAGCTTAGCCACTCTCCATTCACCCATGTCAGGTTCATCATTGCTTGGACCTTAGCTGTGATGCTGGCTGAGCGGATTGTCATGTTTTACAATTTACATTTCCTGTAGACGTGTGTGCTGTGGTTGATCAAATCATTAGTTTTTTGTTAAATTAAACATATTTGCAGAAAACCAAAAGAGAGTTGCTTTAGCTGTACAGTTTACAGCAAAACCTCAGACTTTAAAGTATTTCAATGGGATTTTACATGATACAGCATAAGATACTGTAGGGTGTCCAACTTTGAGTTAAATGAGGATTCATCATTTATTTACAGATATAAATAGAAAATGCCCCACATTTCCTGATTTTGTTTTGATCCATCAATCCTTGATATCTGCATGTTCATAAGAAGGCGTAAAGGAAGCCAAAGGACCCCAAGAGAACATATGCATGTAAAAGGTGTAGACACCAGGCCGAGATTCAATCAAGGAGGCAACAGTGCTACCAAACTGTAACCTGTTGTTTTCAGAGTTCATCCATCCATGTGTAATTTCACCTCGGTATAAATAAAGCTGGTCTGTCTCACCAGTTTGTTAGAGAACATTAGAGAACAGAAAGCATCTCCAAGACCAAGAATCACAGCAGACGTGTTAAATTATACATTTTGGACCACAATTAAAATGTTGCATGGAGGAAAACTAACACTGCATAAACATTATCTCCACTGTGAAAAAAAGAGTAAAACTTAGAGAATGCCCTTTGGAGGTTGTAAAAAAACAGAGATCGGGTTTGAATGACCCTAAGTATTCAGAGGAGGTATGATTGAATGGTTAACCACAAAGCATGCTCGTGTTAGAATGGTCCAGACCTACTAATCCAAGGATTTGAAGGAATATTTGATATTCATAAATGCCCTATATTCAGTATGACTAAGTTTAACAAAATATTTCTCTAGATGTACAGTAAGATACTAAATTTGCAGCTAAAGGTGATAGAGTATGAATACAAGTGCCTAGGATAATTTGCAGTTAAAAAAAAAATTACATTCATTCCTCCTCCTCATCATGTTTGTCCGTCACAAACTGCAATAAAATACTTTGAGGATTGTGGTTGAGCCTGACAATCTGAACAAACAATATGAACTTTTGCAAGGTGCCGTGAAGATTATTGAGTTTGTGCGGTCAGGCTTTAAATGGTCTTGATTTGTCATTCACCTGTAACCTGACCCTTCCTACCTCCTGTTAGGCTCTGGAACAGCACTGCAGAGTGGAGTCTGGTTTTTCGGGGATCCGGGATGTTTATACCATGACAGCCAGCCACGACAACATGCAGCAGAGCTTCTTCCTGTCAGAGACACTTAAGTAAGTCCCAATTGCTTTTTTAAGCCTTCCCACTGCTGAGAAGAAGGTGATTGTAGGATTATGCACCACCTTTCATCTGCATGAAAGTAATACCAAGTCAGAACCTGAACACTGGGGATTCATCTTTACTTTGTATCTGTTCTGCCTACGAAGCACAATCGTGACAGGAATGAAACAGACACAATCTCTGCTTCAGATGTTTATCTAACTTTCAATGACAGACTTTTAACCCTTCAAGGAAGATTTAAAATATTTGCAGCCATTAAGCTACATGAACCACTCAGTGTAGCTTAACATGTATAAAATAAAAAATATATTTTTCTTCAGCTGACAGCAGTGGGAACCTTCAGGTCAGTTGTCAGAAGACAGCACTGCTGCCACACTCAGTGCTGCACTGCTCCTAACATGGATGCTCCTTTTAAAGTAACTAATCGTGACTGGGAAGAAATCCCTAATGATGAATAATTTATATTTTATATCAGAGTAAGGGCAAAGCATTGCAGGCTGACAACTGGGGAGGAGGTTCTTAAACATGTTCAACATCAAGAAAATATTCCGTTTAAATTACTCTTGTGAAGATGCAAGAAGGCAGTTGCAACAGGACAAGCTTTTCCCTCACATATAATAAATAGGTCAATGAGGTCAAATGATGATAAACCAGTGCAAAATCACTACAGCTGGTTTGCTTATAGATGGTACAGCAACCTCTGTGACCAAACACAATTTATTTTTGTTGGTTTTGGATATTAGATACTTTTCCACTTTTTTATTTAACTAAATCAATTTAACTAATGCTTTCTGCTTAACTTAAATTAGCAGCTAGACCCTTGTAGATGTCATACTTCAGCATTATCAGAATATAATTTACACCATGTACCATGTAATAATATTGCCTCTGGTAAAGTGATGTTGATTGATGTTTTGGTATATGTTCTGCTAAAATGTTAACATAAGAAGGGGAGCTATGTTTTTCATAAATTCATTCAACTGTGCTAAACTTTTCCTCTTTTCAAATATTTTATTGTCATTACACTGTGACAAGTAGAGCATAATGAAATTCATTATATGCATTTAACCCATCCCCATGGGAAGCAGTGGGCTGCCATTTTTGGCATTGTGGGGGTTAAGGGTCTTTGCTCAGAGACCCAGAGTGGCAGTCTTTGGGAGTGGGTTTCAAACTCACAATATCAGGATTCCAAGCTCTATGCCCTTACCACTAGGGCACTGACTCCCCAATAAAATAACAGTAAAAAAACTAATAAAAATATAAATAGGAACCGAAATAAACAGCTAACTCAACAGAAAAGACTAGAAAAAGAAAAGACTGTGCAGAAAGTGCAAAAAATAGTGGCTCTAATCTGAAGTACAATTGGAAAAGGTAATTAAAAACCTATATTAAAAAAAATAATGTCTACTTAGTTTGTCACAGCTTGGATTGAGGTTCTCTGACATTAATAAAAGTTCATATCAAGGTAAATATGATTCCCCCTTTGCTAATTCATACTTCCATGTTTTTCCTATATGTTTTACATTTCTATATATTAGGTAATTGCACATAGTTTACCGATTTGTTTAACCCTACTTAATTTAGTAAATTGCTTTGAATAGATTTAATATATTATAATTGGACATTTTGATTTTGTATTTATTCATTTTATCTTTATCTGATAGTAAAAGTAGTTTAATCTGAAATATTTATGTGTCCAAAAATGAAGAAAACAAGGAATGACCAGTAGATTTCTTTAGCTCCTTCTCTACTACATAAACACTAATTTGGGGTAATGCATTTTGAATAAAGCTGTTTTTTGTTGTTTGTTCAGGTATCTTTATCTGCTCTTTTCTGACGATGACCTCCTCTCTCTGGAAGACTGGGTCTTTAACACCGAAGCTCATCCGCTGCCTATAATCCGTAAGAGCTGCCTGCAGGATGAACTAACAGAAGAAAAGACCGTCTCTGAATAAAACCACTCACCAACCAAGACGTAGATAATTCTGCACAATTTATGTGTGCACAGTCAAACAAAAGTTGCAAATACCAATTCAGTGCAGATTCAGGGTCTTATAAGGAGTGTGTGGTTGACTCCCTGTTCCTTTCAAGTAAAGGATGTTGTCGTTTTATGCTGTGATTGTATATCCTTTCGCCGAGGTTCCTTCCTACTGGCACTTCTTTTTTGCGGACAATCAAAACAAACATGACTTTCATGAAGAGATACCTTTTTCTTTCCTTCTTTCCTCTGTGAGGAAACCACTTTAACGTACAGACCCAAATGTATGGGAGAAGGTTTGAACTATGGGCTATACTGTCAGAGAGATACGAACCACTTGATTTTCGATCATTATTTTAGTTTACTTTTACTGATGACGTTTTCCCTTTAGACTTACTTCTGCTTTTCTTTTGTGAACTCTTTAGCCAAAGGTTCTATCTGTCGCCCTCTTTTAAAGTAAACTGTTTTGATGAAATTTAAAGGAAAGAGTGAAATAATGTACAGATAAACACAAAATGTGACTCTCTAATCCACCTCGAAACTAATTTTGATGTCATGTTTCTTATTGAAACAAGGATGAATGCATTTTTTAAAGGACAGAGATGTCAGGAAAGAGGCTTTGTCTTATGCATCCAGGGACCACTTAAAAAAATGTGTTTCCAGTCTATGCTCTGGTAATTTTTTGTTTTCCCAACAGAACCGTGTTTGCTTAGCCTTTCACAATACAATGGAGCACTCTCCGTCCTTTCACTGTAAAAACAAAGCATCAAGAAAAAAATGAAGACATCTGTGAACTAGCTTCAGATGCCTTTTCTTTTGGGAGTTTTCCTGCCTTCACATACAGCCACAGTGATGTTGCAGGTTTTTAAGCTGCAGAGACAAGCTTTTATTTTCTATCACTGTTCTGTTAACAGTTGCTCTTCTGCACAGTCGTGGAGTGAATGTGCTATATATACAGACGAAGTGAGTGGCACCTGTGTGAGCTTTGTCTTTTCTTAAGCTTCTGTCTCTTTTTCGTTATCTTTTTCTAAAACTTCAGTCATTGTTTTTCTGGGTTCTCTTTAATTTGCTTCCCTCAGGTGTTTCAGTAAAAAAAATATAAAAAAAAAGTCTAATTTTAAGTCTAGTTATTGCTGATATTAATTATTGTTATGACCAATTCTTACTGTTTGATTTTATTTTGATTGTTAAATATTTTCAAATACTGATTAAAAAGAAACTGTGCAACTTTGTACATTTAAAGCAATCACATTTGTTGTGTCGTTCTTTTTCGTGCGCTTGCTTACATGCACTTGCATTTGTGTTTTCATACTTATTCACCTCTTATTGCAGGAAACATCCTGCAACCACAAAAAATAAATGCCACTTATCTGCCTTTTATATTTCCTTTCACAACATTCATTGCAGGTTTAATTAAAAAGGGGACTTTTTAGGGTTGAGGAACCATACAGCAATCATAAACAGAAATGACTATGTTTAGCCGCTGCGCCTCACACAGCGTGACTAGTCAGCAATTGGAGACTTCATATCATCTGCTTCGGATAACTTAGCATCAGCTGCTGCCAGCTGAATCCTAATTTCAGCGTATGAACCTTCAGGTAATTTCACATCCACTCATAATGTGTTAAACATGCATTATTGCCATTTAATTGTAATTTAATGGGGGTACCTATCAAATGTCATGGATCTTGTAAAAACTGTTTAGCGGTGCAAGCTCTGATTGTCTATTAAGGAAATGTTATCCATGTTATATCCTGCAGCTAGTATATGATTACAATATTCGCCATTAGATAAGCCATGTTAATGGAAAGAAGGTGACAATGTGAATGACACCATTCAAACACCTGACGCCATCTTTGTGTTGCTCTTCGGTTCCTCAGTAAGCCAAAGCAAATTTTGAGAAAAGATGCTTCAGAATTTAAAAGAATCAATGTCTATCGATTTTCTCTTGTTGTCCTAATAAAAAAAACCTTTTGCATTTTTTAAATAGATATTTCAGCAAACTTTTACTGCAATCATTTAAGCACAGAACATCTTATGTAGAAATAAATCACATCCAAAAGAATAATTTCAACCCCCTCCAAACTATGTTGTTGATTGGAATCAGATAATTTAAGCTCAGTGCAAACTTAAAATCCTAATCTTTACCAATAAGTGAATACATCAAATTTCAGGGCCTGAGTTACTGAAGTTACCACTGCTTCTGAGCAAGGATGACACAGAATTTGCCATTTTCAGTTAAAATTAAGTTAAATTTAACTTTGAATTTACCGTAAGTTAAAAATTATTTCAGAGGAGGCATAAGGAAGGTTAGGCTTTTTGTCAAGCAGAGGTCAGAGTGCCATCTACTGTGGTCAACCAGGATTATTTAGTCATTAATTCGACCCTGTTAAGTTGCATAGGTGAGTTTTTGAGAAGAGCTGCCCCACACGTAGCATCAATATGCGGAAAATGCTATTGACATGAAAAATATTTTTTATATAATTTGAAATTCAGCAAATTATTTGTTCAAAATTTACAGAGCTCTTTTAAAAATGATGATTTTGTAATAATTGAATCTCTGCTTCTGAAAAATATCTATAGAGAAGAATTCCTCACATTGGGTCGCTAGTCATTTTATTCGTTCATATATAGGTAGAGAATCTGTCTGGTGCTACTATAAAATTCTTATCAACGCTGTGTTTATTTAGGGTAGTTTGTACCAGTTTTAAAAAACACCTTCAGTCTGGGTTTTTTCAACACCAGAGAAAAACTAACTAGATAAAAAATATTTTAGTTGAATCTTAGAGTACCATGTCTTAACCATCATGAATGAAACAATTAAATGAACTTATTTTCACAGTTTTATCAACATTGAATGTTTAATGGTTTGAGATGAGAGGACTATTTTAGCGAAAATTGAAAAATGGAATTGACGGAAATTAGAGATTTAAGTATCATGGGCTCAACAATACTATACAAAATAACCTCAGGATAATTATATTGCACTGATGGTATTTAACCACTTTGAAGTCCATGAACCCCTTACATAAATATGGGTACATTGAAGAATTTTAGTATTTCTTTTTTATATGTATTATTTTGTTTGTCCTGGAAAACCTGTTTGTTAATTAAATTAAATTCAGTTTATTTATATAGCACCAGCTTACAACACATGTCATCTCAAGGCACTTTACAGTTCACCAGATCATACAGTCAATTTGATTCAAAGATTTCTATCCAAGGTAAAACCAGTTGATTGCATCAACTCATTGACTCAAAGGCAATCCCTCACACTAAGCATGATTGTAGCGACAGTGGAGAGAAAAAACTCCCTTGTTACTATCTGGTGATAAAGTATTCCATTAGCTGGTTTTCCAATTGATACCCTGCCCTTTGCCCAGAGACTGCTGAAGGTAGGCACAGCCCCCACGCAACCCTGACAGAAATGCAGAAGATAAATTGATGGATGATTTGATAAATTATGGAATAATTATGGATCTTTATTACTACAGGGTAATACTTTAATTTTAGAGCATGTGTGAAAAAATATTGGTCCCTGTTGATGATTTAGATTTAAAAAAGACATATTTTTGACTTCTTTGAACAAAGAATCAGCCCCTCAAATTTTCTTCTTTTTAACATTCAGACTTCAAAAAGAGTCAGAAATACCCCAATAGAAATGTACAACCTATGAAAACTATTACAAACCTTTATTTCTAACTTTTATTAAGAACCAACAGCAAAAACCTTTTTTACTGAACAGTTTTCAACTTATATCAACTTCTTCCAGACAACTCTTTTCAAATAACAAGTACAACTGAAATGTGTCCCATTTCTATCACTGACATTTAACCTGGCATTTGATCTAACAAGATCTCATAATATTCCCCTCAAAATTCAGCTGCTGCCTGCCATCCATGCTGCTCACAATATCTGCTCACTTTCCACCAACAAAGACTGCTTTGAACCTAAGAACTCTGAGATCGCTGCGTAGCTGCATCTGGAGTCAGATCTTTACAACTTAAGAAACAAAAATAGTAGATAAAGACAGAAGAAAGCTTTGCTTTGTGATGGGACATATTTAGTCTTTTTATCCCCAGCCTCTCACCTTCCTAGCTCCACCTTTGACAGATATCAAGCACCTTTCTTCAAAAATATTCAGATGTATTTTGGGATTACTTCTTTATACCATGCTGTTTCCAAAGTAAATGTGGTGGTTTTCAATGGTCAAAAATCAGGACACCTTCAGTCGATCATCGGATTGCCCCAGGACGGGAGAAGAAGCGTTTATTTCAAAGATCAAATTCACATGCTGTCCTCAGTACACGTAACACAGCGCTGAACACTTCAACAGAACACATCTGGCTTTTCTCAACTCCCATTTCAAATCTGGGCGTTTATATAGTTTCAACATTGCACTGTGTGGACGTGTGTGCACGACTGGACGCTCTGATAACATTTCCTGGAAGTACTTGGCTTGTGACCGGATTGCGTGCGAGTGGGCCTTTGAGTGGGCCTAATGATTTTGTTTTTCAAGACTCGGCTTATCGCCTGTGAACACATTGTTACTGCCAAAACAATGTTACTGCCAAAATGTGTACGTGGCTCCCAGACTGCTTGCTCTGTGTTCTCAATTATTGTGAGCTTAAGGTCACGATGACCTGAGGCAACACAATTCGCTTCTACATAAACATCTTCAACTGTTGCTATCTCACACAAACTACATAATGTTAAAGTTATTAAGAGGGACAGCTTGTCCTTGCATCTTAAGTTTTTAAGTACTAAAATTGTCAGGTAATGGAATAAAATCCTCAAATTCACAAGGAACAGTTTTTTCTACGAATGTAAAAACATCTTATTGTTCCTGGTGGAATAAAAATTAAATACAACTTTTAAAAACATTACTCCATATCACATACAAAAATAAGTCCTGCAAACAACCAGCACAGTAAATGCATTATAAAACCTAAGAATAAGGGGAATGTTACTGATTTTTCTACGGAGGAAAATTGTGAGAAATGCATGGAATGATTTTTAAATAAATGGACAGCTAAATCTTAAGACATTTTTTTTTTTTTTTATCAAATAGACTATATAAAATGGGCTTTAATAGGAATATTATTGTAGATGATATACAATGGAGACATGGTATTTGGCCACTACTGTATGTCCACTCTCATGGCCATAACAATAACAACAGCACTGTTGTATGCAGTACCATCTCACTCAGACACACGGCCCCATTGTAAATCAGGAGTTTGAACTGTGGGCATTTTTCAAAAGCATTTCAGTGTTATCGAAAATAGTCGCTTGATGTATGCAGCCTAACTGATGCAATTACAGCAGTAAATCTTGCCTGTGCCATTATTAGCTTTCCAAAAAAGTACAAAGAAAAAATAAGAAAAAAAAAGAAATCCAATGGACATTGTATCCAAGTTTAAAGACGTTTTGCTTCCCATCCATGTTCCCATCCCATCCATGCTTTTTAATTCAAAATGTCAGAAATAGCGTTGAGTTTGAGGTTTAGAGAGTCGACCAAAAACAAAGCCTTGTCTTGGCTTTGAAAACATGAAATTGATCCGGATGAACGGGTCCGCCCCTTACTCGTTTGGCTTCTTTGGGAACATAGGGACATTGAGAGGTCCCTATGCTAAATGAGCTATCATTAGGAGGCATCATGCTTTCTCTTCCTACCTCTTTCCTTACTGCTAACACTATTCAAATAGCACTTATCACCACCACCCTGATGCACTTCTACTTTGACTTGTATTCCTACTGTTTTTCACTTTTCAAATGGACCAAGTGAACGCAGACAAAAATAAAAATAAAAATCAGAAGGCAAGTGATTATTTTTGGAGCTATCCAACTAGACACCTGTATACAAGTGCATGCCACAGTTTTTAGGTGTATGGTATGGTTTTGAAAATCATGGTCCATTTTCATTTACCGGTAACTTTAAATGATCCACAGTATAAAGCTGAGTTTAATGTAGCTTATTCACATTAAATCTCAAAATGCATTTTGGTTATAACAACACAAGACAAAAACCTTTAAAGCCTAGGAATAGCTTCAAGACACTAAACTTTGTGACTTCTTACAGAAGTCAAGCTTTAATAACTTGTAAGCTTTTCAAACTCAGAACAAAGGGATCCAAAATTCAAAGCAGACAAAAATGTTTCTCAAAGATCTTATTGAAAAACTGAGTCAGAGTGAGCGGCATCGGTGTCTAAGGCAGGAACCACTGGTCGTATAGTTCGTTCCAAA